GACAAGCTCAGTCCCCGCCGTCGGGCAGAGGACCCAACAGGTTAGGACTCCTCTGATCCCGCGCGCGGTCAGACTCTGGACCCCGGACTCCATCCCCAGGTCCCCGCACTGTCCCCGGCCCTTCGGAGCGCCCACCTCTCCTTCCGGGACCTCCCTTGCCAGAGCTCCCTGGGCCTGGAGGACGCACTTGGGGTGGCAGGTCCCGGGAAGGTGGGTGGAGTTCCGGGAGCTCAGGAGGCTAGGGACCCAGCGATCCTCCTGAACCCCTGAGCCAGAGTGCGGGTACGGCAAGGGGTTCGTAGGAAAGAGATGGGACACAAAATTGGGAGACTCGGGGAATTGTACACGCTGTGGCAATTGTACAAAACCCCTGACCAAACGTGTCCGTGTCTCTAGTTTCCTGGGAACTAAATTGCTGCCCCCGACCAGCATCTCCTCGCTCCTCAGTACAGAGAGGCCCACCTTTGTAAGTTCTCGGTCTTTCTCACTGGGGCGTCGCCAGCTTTTCCGGACTGGGTACGTTTCGTTCAGACTCTGCCCAGCCATTGCGCCTTAGGCTGGGGAAGGTCCTCTCGGCCCCCCCCCCCCCCCCCCCCACGCCCGGATCAAGGGGCCGGCGTACCCGCGCACGCCGGCGGGTAACCCTGCCCAGCACCCGGCTGCGCTGCCTCCCTTTCGCTCCAACAGTCGCCGAGGGCCACGCTTTTTTTCTTCGGGCAGGATTCTTTTCCCGCCCTACAATAGCCGGCCCCGGCCAAGTGCCCTCTTTGGGCGCCCAGGCCCGGGCACCGCCCCAGGAGACGCCGTGGCGACCCTCGTTACCTGCGTGCTGCCGGGGCCCGGCAGATCGCGGCTGCAAGCTCGCCCGAGCAGTCCCAACTTCATTTCCTCCCTCTAGAGGCACGTTTCCCAGAAAAGCCTCCCCCCGGCCCCCTCCCGCCTTCCCTACGAGACCAGGAAAAGTCTCAATCTCCATAGGAAAGGTTCCATTTAAGTGCCCGGGGTGGGGGGGCGCAGTGGGCGGGGCAGAGGTGGCGGAGAGGATTGAATTTCTCTGCGCTGCTAACCAGCCACCGGCGGATAAAGCGCAAGTTTGTGCGCTTCGTCCACCGAGGGATTGCAAACCCAGAAAACAAAGTGTCCAGTGAGATGCGGAGTTTGCCCAGATTTCCCTGCAGATGGGTTTGCGGAAACGCCTGTGATGTGAACTTTCTGCAGATTGTGTATGGAGGGAGCTGAAGGAAAGGAGGAAGGGGAGCGGGGCGGAGAGGGGGCAGTGTGAGCGTGAAATGTGCCCGGGTGTGTGTGTGTGTGTGTGTGTTTGGGGAGGGGGGGTTGTGTGCCCAGGCGCGGGGGCGTCACAGCGGGGCAGAGCAAGGCGTCGGGAGCGTCCCGCAGGCTAATTGGTTTGAGACGTTCCGCAAGCGCTGGAAAAGGTCGTTGAAGGAGTTCGCTGCACACACACAAAATAATAATCTTAAAAAAGAGTGCCGGGCATGCGCACAGAGAGGATGCCATATTGGAATGAGGCTGTAGTGGGAGTCGGAGGACCGGAGCGGGCGCGCGAGGGAGGCGGCGGGCGGGGAGCGAGCGAGGCTGAGCGAGCCGGGGCGAGGCAGAGCGAGCGAGCGAGGCCGGCGGCCCCCCGGCGGCGCCCGAGGCCTGGGTCCACTCCGAGGGGAGGACGAACTTCACCAGGTAGGACGCCGCGCCGGCCGCTGTCCCCGCGCCCAGCCCGCCCGGCGGGCAGATCTCCGGCCCGCAGGTTGAGTGCGCCGGTCAGCTTCTTTTTTCCAGCTTCGGGAAAAAGGGAGGCTCGGGCCAGCCCGGGCGTGGGAGGCTTGAGGAGCGGGTGCCGAGGGAGAGAAGCGAAAGAGAAGAGCTGGAGGGGAGAGCGGCAGCCCTAGAGCAGAGCCCCAAACTCCGCTCTGCGCTCCCGGGTTGTCATTTTTGCTGCTCGCGTCCCCTTCCAACAACCTCGTCCCTCGGCTTTGAAAAGCCCGGCCTTGCGGGAGACCGTCTGTAGTTGCAAAGTGTCCTCCTCATCGGGTTCGAGCTGTCCCCTCCCGCCGCCCACCTTCCTCATTTGTGCGCTCATTTTAGCGACGCAGCCGCCCTTGCTAACCCCACGCTCCGCGGTCTCTTCCCTTGTCGGGGTCTCTTTCTTCTTCTTCTTCTTCTTCTTTTTTTTTTTTTTGGTGTGTGTGTTGGGGGCGGGGAGGGGGAAAATGGTAGGGTGAGGACTGGAGACCAGCCATTAGGGGTGTTAAAAATCGTTTACACATTCGGAGTCGCCCTCTTGGAAACATTTGTCTGTGCAGCTGAAATGAAATTGTCAGTAGTAGTTTCGGAGCGTGCTCCGGCATGGATGATCTTTTTGTTCTTTTTTTTTTTTTTTCGCTTTAAAGTAATATCCTGTCACTTGGGGCTTTCCTGTTGTCTACTCTCATATGACCTCCTTTCAAAATTGCTAATCTGATCTAGCTTTGGAGTTTATTTTTTAAACGTGTGTGTGTGTTGGTAAAAATCCGCCAAAAAGAAAGAAAAGAAAGAAAGAAAGAAAACAACTGTAGGAACTGCTTAGATGTATTTATTGATTTTGGCCCGGGGCGGCGGGAGAGGCTGAACCGGGGACCGGTGACCCGGGGGTGGGAAGTGCTGGATTCGCGGTGGCCGGACGCACGTCCAGAGCCCGATCCGTACTTGTGTTTTCTTGGAAGCGCTGCAACTGCGGGGAAGGAGTATTTAGAAACCCTGCCAGTTTCAATATGGCGGGCTAAGGTGGTTTTTAAAAACTGAAAATAAAGGTTTTGAGGTGGGAAAAAACCCAACCGGAGTTGCCATGCCTTAGTTTCGACTCTCTTTAGCTACTCCAGGAGCTGTTTTAGCGAATTAAATGGGAAAAAAGAGACAGAATGAGCTGCCCTAGTTTTTTCCGTGTTTCGAGTCTGCGTGTCCAGTCCATTGCTGGGGGGGGGGGGGGGGGGGTGCCGCTGGTCCAGACTGGGGCATCCGAGCACAACTGCTGCATGTGCCTTTGGATCGGTGTGCATACTGGTGTGTGCAGTTGGGGGGGGGCGGTGTCAAAGAGATACGCCCCGAATGTGTGTGTGCGTTTTGGAACCAGACTCTGCCATGATTTGACGTGACAAACTGCTGACACGTGGTGCAAAATACATGAGGGCAGAGGCAATGATTTATTTCGGCTTTCTTTGAGACGAGCTCTCTGTATGCTGGGTTCTGTGCAGGTGAAGCCCAGAGTAGGCGGAGTGCGGAGGTGCTTATTTAAAGGACTAACTGTCCGCGGTATTGGGTGCAGTCGGGCTGCAGACGCCCGTGGGGTGTTGTGTGTGCTGGGGGCACGCCGCACTTGGCGGTGGGGGCCTCGCGGCCGAGACGTGGGGAGGACAGTGGTGGGGCAGAAAGGTGTTGGAGCGCCGACCTAGGCGGAAAAGTGTGTAGAGTCGAAGCGAGGAGTTGCTTTTGGAGTTGAGCTCTAGGGAAGGTGGGGGATGGGAGAAGTGGTCTCGGAAGAAAAGTGTCCCTTGCTTAGGTCCAGCGCGAGAAGGCTGGATCTGAGTGGGGCGTCCCCCGGCCATGGCAGGCAAGCGGGGCGGCGCTGTGGCATTGGGGTTTGAGTGGTGTCCGGGAAAGGCCGGCTTCTGGGGCCTGGAGGGTCTGGGACTGGAGTTTTGGGGGCAAAGTCGGAACCTGTGTAAGGGAAGTCGGAGGGGAAGCAAGCAAACCCGAGCTCGCTAAGCTAGGAACAGGGATCTCCAACAGGGGTCGCCAGTGGCCAGGACGCAGCTGCCGAGCGGAGGTCGCGCGGGAGGGACCCAGGGGACAGTGGACTGTGCGGCGGCTATGCGCGGTCCCCCGGGCCTGGCGAGGGCAGGTTCTGGGGACCTTATCTGGGCCGGCGAACCTGATGGCGCCTTGACCAAGTGCGCCGAGACGTGTTTAAATCTCAGGGTTAAAAAGATTGTGTGTTGGCCAGGTCTGTAGTTAGCGCAGTAACGGGCTCTCAGGGCATTTCCAGGGGGCCTAGAGGGGCGATCCATAGGGTCAGCTCGTCCTCCCCCCTCAGACAGACGCCGCGCTGTCGGAGAGGCCTCTCTCTAGTAGTGTCCGGCGGGTGGGGGCCCAGGGGAAGCGACACTAGGATTGGAGACCCCGCGGCAGATTTTCCTTCCCACCTGGGTTGGCGGGGCTGAGAGATCGGCGACACTCCGGCCAAGACGGTCGGTCCCCCGGGCAGAGCGCGCGGCGCGTCCCCGGCCCTTGCAGCGTGCGCGGCTAGCGGGTCCTCCCGGGGACAGCTTTCCCGTGGGCTTCGCTGAAGTGGAAACCAGCCTAAAATGGCTCTGTGCTTGTAAACTGCAGTTTCAGCCGGGAACCCCTCCCCTCGTCCTCCTGACGTCGCCGCTGACAAGCGCACAATTCACTCTAACGCCCCGAAACCCGCGATTTTGCACCGAGCTGTGCCGTGGAAGCGAATATACAACCGATTACAAAGAACATTCCTCAGGATTCTCGCAGGGCCCAAGTTTCCCCTTCTTGTAGGACGGAGCGGGAGGAGGGGGGCGCGGCGGGAGCCGGGCCGACCACCGCCCCGGAACCGGGGCTGGGGCTGGGGTTGCGGCTCGGGGCTGGGGCCCTTTCCGCGTAAAAAACCGAGGGAGGTGCCCCGGGGACGCGGATGGTGGCCGTGCGCAGCGATCGCCACCGCCAGGGGCGCTTGGCCTTGACGGCATCTGTGGTGTCCGGAGTGCAGAGAGACGCCGGGAAGCCTGGGAGACCGTTCCCAAACTTCTGGAGACCCGCTTGCAGTTTCGCTTTCGGAATTTTCGGGATCTTTGGGTTTCTAGAGTTGGGTGGGATTCCGGGAAGAGCAGGGCGCCAGGCGCTGGTCGTACGGGTGCTCGTTCCCCTTTTGGTGCAGTCGTCAGACTTCTCAGCACCCCAGCGTCCCCTCCTTTGCGTCCCCGGGTCCCGCGGGCGCGTTCCAGGTCTGGGGCTCCCAGCCCCGCGCGCAGCCCCGGCTCCGGAGAGCGTCAGCCCCGCACCGCGTTTTGTCGGCTCCAGCGGCGCGGCCGCCGCGGATCCGAGTCTACTGGTGGGAAACCGCTTTCGACCAGGGCCGACCCTGCCTGAATCCGCATCCATCGCCGCTGCCGTCCTCTTCTCTTCACTCCTCCACCCTCTCACCGACGCCACGGGACCTGGGGGACCGGTTGGCGTGTCTACACCAAGCAAGTGGATCCGGGGTTCACCAGGTCGGAGAAAACGCGAAAAGCGGCTTAAATTCGGCACCGCATTCTGGGGAGGCGGTTGGGGGTGGGGAGGGAGGTTGAGCGGGTACAGAGTGGGAGGGGAGAGGCCTCGGTGGCCCGAAGGAATTGGCCAGGCGCTCCTGTGCGATAGGAGATCTGCTACTTTCTCCCTAGTAAGCATTAAGTTGGCTCACACGCTGCTTCCTCCCTTCCATAAGTAAGTATGTCCCAGATCCTTATTTTAGGTAGGCGCTGGGACCAAGCCACCTGCCCGAAAGGGGTGAGAGGCACACCCACGCACACCAGAAACCCTCCCCTCCCCTACCAAAGTCTGGACTGTGCAAAAGACCCGTTCCCTTGGCGGTGTAAACCCCTGCCCAGCGGCAGGGTGATTGATTCAGCAGCCCCTACCCTAGAAAAGAGTGCACCCGACCACCCTGCTTTGATGTGTGTTGTTCTAGAAGTGCTGGCTCTCAGAGAAGTATTTCCCATTAAGGTTCCAGCACCTTGAACCTCCAACAGCCCATCCTGCTGGGACCTGAATTTCACTAATGATGGGAGTCATTGATCTGAGAGAGCTTTTCCTCTTCGTGTTTTCTTGCAGAAATCATAGATGGGGTTTTTGTTTTGTTTTGTTTTTTAAACCTTTTTAGGTATAAATCCCTAGGTTCATGATTCTTGCTTAAAAACAAACGAATAAACCAGAATAGGTTCCTGAAGAAAGAGGGGAGCCTGGGTGATCTCAGGATTAGCCTCTCTATTCTCTTTGAATCCTAAGACCTTCCTTTGCTGTCCTGGGAGCACTGAAGGTTTATCAAATCCCATTTCTGCCCCCTCTAGCTGAGGGGGCATTGTTCACCTTTCTCCATGTGCTGGTGCGCACGAAGGACTTACCACCTCTCTCTGTTGGAAACACTGCTCTGAGAAGTACGTGAATGAGGGTTCCATTTTATTGGCGCAGGGTGCTTTGGGGGTTGAAGAACCCCGTGCAATGGAAATGCATAGTTTGCAGGGCCTGTACTTATACCGAAAAGTTTTTGTCAGGGTATCCAAGTGAAAGAGTTCTTCTCTTCTTCCTCCTCCCTGTTGTGCTTCTTCTTCTTAATAGTTTGTACAGAATGGTCCACTGTGGGGATTTGAATGACTTCCAGGTCTAGGGTTCTCAGCTTGGACCTTTGTCTGATAGTATTTCACGATTTGGAACTTTTGGAGTTCACGACTTAACAGTATAGTGGTCATAAAAGAAGAGTTTATAAAAGGTTCTTGTCCCAAAATGAAATTAGGATTATGTAGTTCAAGGCACATTCTGTGTTTTTTATAAACTGTTCTTATGTCTGTCTTGCCCCAGTACCGACTTATTGTCTCTATTCTACAAATATGGGAAAAAAAAAAACTAGGGAACTTGTCATAACAAACCAACCTGCACATTCCTTGGTGACCCAGGATCTAACCATCTGGTTTTGTAAGGAACATTCCTGGCAGAGCAGAGGACAGAATCAGGAGGCCTGGGTTCTACTTTGGAGATATTTCTGTCAAGCCTTGTGACCTTGGACCACTTAACGGCATTTTTTTCTGAGCCTCAGCTTCCTTATCTGCAAAATCAGTGCATCAGACTGGAGTCTCACTCAGACCTCCATGCTTCTCTTTGGGGGAAAAAAAATCAAGTGATTCAACACATCTTGGTAGGCGTGCTCAAGTGATTCGTCTGTCAGACCCATGCCGGCAAAGTACAGTGAAAATAGTACAGGCCTTGGTGACTGAGGCTCAAGACGTTTGTGAGAGCAGTTGGTGGGTTGTAGTTCCTTCTGCAGGGGCCAAGTGCTGACATTGTTGAGGGAAAGAAGCTGTAAATGTATGGGGGCAGGCGTCGTTCATGCCTTGCAAAAGTGAGGTGTAGAGATGGAGGCACATACAAATGTAGCCTTCATATATAATCTTTCAACTTTTTAAAAAGAGACTTATTTCTTTATCTGAGAGAGAGAGAACGAGTAGGAAGGACAGAGGGAGAAGGAGAGAGAATCTCAAGCAGACTCCGTGCTAAGCCGGACTCCATCCCAGGACCCTGAGATCATGACCTCGAGCCAAAACCAAGAGTTGGATGCTTACCCAACTGAGCCACTCAGGTGCCCCAGCCTTCGTGTATAATCTTTATAATAGCATGGGCTGGGCTAGGTCATTGTGGTTTTGAAAAGAAGTCATAAAGAAGTACCTGATTCAAGTATGCTTTAGGAATTCATAGGACTAGAAGGGACTGTTCCACATAGCCCTCTATACCCCACCATTGCAGACAGGGTGAGTGCTGGGACCTCATTCTGCTAGAATTTATAGTGTGGGTGGGTAACTGTGGCCTCCTGGTAGCCTAGGGAGTAAAAGAACTAGATCTGATGTTGCATTTACCATTCCTGCTCTTCATTTTATTTTTTTAGTTTTATTTTTTTTTGAGGTTTTATTTTATTTATTTGTCAGAGAGAGAACACAGCCAGGGGGAGTGGGAGAGGGAGAGGGAGAAGCAGGCTTCCCACTGAGCAAGGAGAGCCCCATTCTGGACTTGATCCCAGGACTCTGGGATCATGACCTGAGCTGACTGAGCCACCCAGGTGTCCCCATTCCTGCTCTTTAAGTTGGGCCACTAGGCAGTACAGTTGACCCTTGAACAACATAGAGGTTAAGGGCAACAACTCCCCCTCCCCCCCGCAGCTGAAAAGTCTTGTGTTGCTTGCCTTCCCAAAAGCTTAACTGCTAAGAGCTTGCTGTTGACCGGAAGCCTTACCAATACTGTGAACAGTTGATTCATACAGATTTTATATTTGTATTATATGCCGTATTCTTACAATAAAGTAAGCTAGAGAAAAGAAAATCATTATTAAAATCCTAAGGAAGAGAAAACATATTTACAGTAGTGTACTTTATAAAAAAAAAATCCATATGTCAGTGGACCTAGAGTTCAAACCTGAATTTAAGAGGCCAGCTATACTGCCTCTCTCTGTAAGACTAGACATGTCCTGGACAACTCCTAAGAAAAATGATCTTGTTGGCTAAAACTAGTGTTGGCTGTGTTGAAGTTCGTGTAAACGAGACAGGACTGTATATTGTAAATAAGGGAAGGTATTCAGTTTAGAGCTTGCAGCACAACAAGGGATGTTATAGGATTCATATAAAGTCACCGAACAAGACCCTGAAGGATCGGTTTTGCAGGATCATGTCAGGGTGTTCAAATGTAAAGATGCCAGCATCACACTCCCCATCTGGTTAGCCCCTAGTGAATTTTAAAACATGATTATGTTTCACCATATACTGATGGTCAGGTCCCTTGGTTTTGATAAGATGATATTCTCTGATCAAAAATTCGCTGATTTATTTTTTTGTCACTTAGGTTTCTATTCTTGTGATAAGATAGATGTCGTTGACACCGATTAAACAAAGAATCCATTGTGCTTTTCTGTTTCATTCTTTTTGATTTTGCATAAAAAAATGACACATTTGGTAGATAAAGTGCTTGTGAGAGCATAGGGTGATAATCTGTAGAGTAAGGCCAACAGAAGACCATTTTGGAGCTGGTGGGGTGGGGAAGACGGGCAGATTTTTATCCTGTGATTTTTATTTTCCCTGAAGTTTTATTGGCTGAGAAAAAAAATCTTTTATTATTATTTTTTTAATGTTTTTCAGTAATCTCTTGCCAGCAAGTTAGAGCAAGAGAGAGAGTGACGATTTGAATCCTAGTCTTACATTGTCTTTGAAACTGTAATTATTGTATATTGATTATTTACTCTGTGTGGGACACTGTGCCTAACACTTTAAATGGGTTAGCTTACTTAATCCTTACAGGTGAGTGCTGTATCTTTATTTCATTGATAAGGAGATCGAGTCTTTGGAGAGGTTCTAGGGCATCATATAAATAGGGTTGGTTTTTTTTTTTTTTTGAACTTGATTTGCAATGCAGGAAGACTAGAGCATTTTCTGTTTACATTTATTTCAGATGGTCATGGAAGAGCAGAGCCTCTAGATGAAGCTAAATCTCTGTTTTTAAATGTAGAAGTGAAAATACTCCGTGTCCTGGGTTGGGATAGAATGTTGCTCCCTGTCATGTGAATTGGCCATTACAGTTTTGAAAAGTGTTGAGTTTCTGAAATTTCAGCTTAATTAAAAGGTAATTGGTTTTCCTACACATCAGTTTCCTTTTTTCTCTCCTCTCTGAAAGACATTCCCACACCAGTGTAGGTGAGAGTAAATGGAAAAATTCTCAAGTCATGGACTTGAGTGGAGAGTGGAACTCCAAAGGACCTTGGGACAGCTGGGGAAGGGAGCTACAATTTTCCCTTCTAAGTAGCTTTTCTTTTTCTTTTAGAGACTTTATTTTATTTATTAGAGAGAGAGAGAGAGCGCACATGCAGGGGGAGCAGCAAGCTCCATGCTGAGCAGGGAGCCCGATGTGGGACTCGATCCCAGGACCCTGGGATCGTGACCTGAACAGAAGGCAGATGCTTAACCGACTGAGCCACCCAGGCGCCCTCTTTTCTAACTAGTGTTGGCCACTGATGAGCATAGTCTTTTAGATTCGACTTAAGATTTTGGTCTTTTATTACGTTATTGTTCTCTCGCATAGAAACAGAACTTCAGAGTGGCTCCTTGTGTGAGGCCTGGGTAAGCATGGTCCTTCCTGTGCCCACTCTGCTCTTGTCAGCAGGTTGTGCACACGGTGAGGTTGACCTCAGGCTTGACGCTGGCCATCAAAGTTTCTTTGCTGTAGATGAGCACAGATTAATTTCACCTCCTTTAAAGCTCAGGAGACGATGTCGAGTTTTGCCAAATCCAAAGTAAGCAGGATTTTTCTGGAAATTGGCTTTTGGCATTATTTTAGGAAGTGCACTAAAGGAAGATAAGCTACAGTCTCATGCTTAGAGTGAACCAGGCTTAGGGATTCAGAACCCCTGGTCTGGCTCCAAGGGGGTGTGGGTGTGTGTGTGCGTGTGACCTTGGCTAAGTCACTTTCCTTTAATCCTCCC